TTAATACTCTTTGCTTGGAGAGCGAATCAGGTCAATAACCCATATGGTGAGTAACCATCAGTAACTTGTCCACATCCGCATGACATCAACATGCCCTCTCTTATGCAAAGTCCTTTTATCTTTTCCTCTTTAATCTTTGACGGACGATTTCTCTCTCGTTTTAAGTCGAAATTTAAATTTTTTTGTACAGATAAATCAGATTATATGTTCTCTTTAAAATGATATCCACTTTGATATATTTTTAGTACAAAAAAAATTGAATAATTTTTTACCAGTCATTACCATATGGTATGCTCATATTTAATACCATATGGTAAGAAAGCGTACCATGATGGTATGAACATACCAATATGGTAAGAAGGTTGAATACATGATAGTAGGAGTATACTAACTGTCATTTACGACTTTCATCATTGTTTACCATAAGTTACCACCTACATACCATAGTGGTAAAGTATGGTAATTTTTGGTCTAGTATTTTTTTCATCCAGAAATTTGTAGATCCAATAGATCATGATGAACTCGTTCCTTCTGAGCAAACATTTTCAAAAACGACTTAAAAACGAAGAAGTTACCATATGGTATGTAGTTGGTAAAAAAAAGTTTCTCGAAATGTATTGAAAATTGATCTCATTTTGTAGAGCACAACGAACTCATTCTATGTGTGTAAAAAAAATTAAAATCCGAGTTAGAACGAAGAAGATAAGAGCCGATTATGAAAACTAGGGAAAATAAAATGTTTTTAATTCACAACTCTTAGATCTGGATTTTCTGGACCCACTTAGATCTAAAGGTCCAGATTTAGTTACTTATATGTTAGTAACCAAATGTTACTCACCCTATCATAAGGGAGCAGATCCGGTTCCCCATGCATAACCTAATAAGAATCTGCCACATCAGCTCCTCATTCTCTCTCCTGGAAAAATCATTAATTTTGTTTCCTTTAATCTTTAAAGGATGATTTCTCACTCGTTTTAACTCAGAATTTAATTTATTTTGCACAGTTAGATCAGATTAATTGTGCTCTTCAAAATTATTTCCACTTTGATATTTTTTTGAACAAATTTTTTTTGCCAATTATTACAAGTCTATACCATATGGTATTGACTATACCATATGATATTGACTGGTATTAAATAACAACATATCATATGGTATGAAAATACCAGTCAATACCATATGCTGTTATTTAATACAAGTCAATACCATATGGTATTAAATAACAGCATACCATATGGTATGAAAAATACCACCTCATACCAGGGTGGTATAGTATGGTATGGAGTTGGTAACGAGAGGTTTGAAATTTATTCCCCCAGAAAATTTTGAAATCCAATAGATCATGATTAAATCGTTCCTTTTATGCAAAAATTTCCGAAAATGACTAAACAACGAAGGAGATACCATATGGTATGGAGTTGGTAATGAGAGGGATGAAATTTTTTTCTCTCAAAAAATATTGAAAATGGATATCATTTTGTAGAGCACAACGAACTCGTTCCATCTGTGAAAAAAAATTGAAATCTGAGTTAGAATGAAGAAGATATTATCCAATTAAGAAAACTAGGGAAAATAAATTCCTTTAATTCTCCACCATTAGATCTACAGTCACTTAAAAGAAGGGTCCAGATTTGGTTACTCATTGTTACTCACCCTATCTTGAGCCCTATCCTAAGCCCTTTGCTTGCTTTAATTCTCCACCCTTAGATCTACAGTCACTTAAAAGAAGGGTCCAGATTTGATTACTCATTGTTACTCACCCTAAGGTTACTCACCCTATCTTGAGCCCTATCTTAAGCCCTTTGCTTGCTATATAATTACAGAGCATTGTGCGGTATCCTGGGTTGTCTTTTAGTTTGCTACGTTATGAGTTTCTACTTTTTAATTGTAGTTAATAAATTTGTCAGATTACGAATTTTAATATTTATTCCACATTAGTACCCTTGTCTTAAATTTGTTTAAAATTAATGTAATATGTTTTGGATATATTGTTTAGTGTGCTATTATTTGTAGTATTTATAATATTTTTGTTTATGAGTTAACGATTTATTACCAAATTTTTCACGGCTTATTACCGGTTAAACCACTTAAGTACGAACCACTAATGATAACGGCTCATACTCCGGTTTGGTTCTGACAACATTGGGTTTTACAGTAGTGGATCATTAGAATTCAAGCAGTTTGTGAAAGCTGAAGCTGAGTTGTGTGCACAAGCATGTGACAATAGTTCAACCATCAAGCTGCTCAAAACTTTAGCCTTTGTATGGAATAAAATTCATGGTAAGTTGGGGTTGTGTGAACTGCAGAGTTTGAGTGAAGAAGATGTGAAAGTTGAACCACCAGGATATGTGTTTGGAGGGAAGGAAGAAAAAACTTTCAAACTGAAGAAAGGAGGATACAGTTTGAAGAAAGCTCACAAAGTATGTTACATCAAAACTGAAAGGGATTTGGTGTCATATGCAAGGTGATTTGAGAAATTGGTTGAGGAGTTCAAAGCCTCAGAGCATGTTGTGGTTGAGATTACTAAATTTGGCAAACCGATATACCTTCTTGGATTAGAAGTGCTTAAGGATGATCAGTGTTTGATTATGGGTCCTAGCATCAATGTGTTTGAGCAAGGGGAGAAGTGCTTGACAGGTATCACAAATAGTGAATGTACAAGTGATGTGGGAGAAGCAGCGTTATGGGCATCGATGAAGCATCTAATGGTGACTTTGTTTACCAATGTGGAAGAGTTTGTAGTTGCTATGTTATGTGTTATTGGATGGTCTTGTGCGTCACAGAGTTCTAAACGAGAAGCGGCGGAAGGTGTTTTAGAGGGGAGGCATAAGAATTCAGAATCATAGATTACATGGAAAGAAAAACCCGTCTTCTTTAAAGACGAAAAAGGAAGCTTGGAGTTCATGAAGTAAGAAAATTGATGGAACCTCCTGAGCTGTTGTGCTGATTTAAGCTGCTGATGATAGAAGAATTGAAATATCGGCTGAACTAGTTTTGGGAGCCTAACTACGGAGGCTAAGTAATCCAAGTTTATGGAAGGAACTCAGTCTGCTGCTGCAACTTGCTGAAGATGTTGTTGCCATTTACTGAAGACAGCTGCTTAAGGTCTTGCAAAGTTGGCGATTTTCTAAGTGGAATGAACCGAGGAAGTGAGCTAGGGGTCTGTGATTGTTTCAGAAGCTGCTGCAAATTGATGTTTCCGAACAGAGCTGCTGAAGAAGGTGATGTCGAAGTATGAACTGAAGTCTTGCAAAGCTGATGCAAATTAATGTTTCAAAGCAGACTTCAGTTCAGGGGAGGCATTGTTGGGATAAGTTTTGAGTCTGTAGTTCTGCGGTGTCGTTTTTTATGTTAGATCTTGTTGTGGTGTTTTAGGGTGAGAGATCTGTTTGTCGTGTGATATAGGTTGTGGTCAAGTAGTTTTAATAGTTCAACAAAAGTAGGTAACTGTAGTTGATTGGCTTCCTGGGTTTTAGGGAGAGGGTTAATGGGTAGAATTGAAAAGCTGAATTTGCAACTTAAGAAGTTGGCTGGTTGTATATATTTGTTTTTCTTTCCTTCAATAAGATTTGGTCAGTTTGCATTCTTTTTGAGTTTCACAAATATTATACCCTAATTTTTAATAAGTGAACCCTAGATCTTAATTATTTAAATAATAAACTATCCCTAAGTTGATGCACTCGTTTTTTGCCTATATTTGGACGAATCATAACTATCGATTATTGTTTCCAATGAAATTGATCTTGGGGTATAAGATTTAGAGAATTAAGACCTATATATATTATCTTTAAGAGTTAGAGTATAGTATCATGTCCGAAAGATCAGTCAATTCAAGGTATGGATAGCGTCTCCAAACTCAAGGTATGCGGTACCCTGGTTTATACTATGGGTAACGTAGAACTCACCATATATATACTTTTCGAGTATATGATACTTTAGGTACTCTTTGTGAGATATCTCTATATAGATCATGAATAAAACCACTTTCGAACTATGATACTATATCCTAACCTATAATGGATAAACCCTAGGCCATGATCCTCTAAACTCAAACCTGGAGTGTAATTTAATAAAAATAATAATTGACTGTTCAGATTGGTAAGACTTAAAAGCTCATCAAAGTATACCTAATGGGCATATCACCTGGAGTATACCATTCTTTATCATATATATAGCTGAAAATTTAGATTAATTGCAAGGTTGGTCACTGAGATTACTAAAAAAGGTCATGTTTGGTCACAAACAATATTTAATTCCATTTATGGTCAATAAAATTACTTTAATGGTTCAAGTTTGGTCACTCTCCGCTAGTCTCCAATAACACCGTCAGTTTTCTGCTGATGTGCCTAACAGAAATGTTGAGTAAGCCAATTTAAATCTCAAAAAATTAAAATTCAACCCGCCACATCACCCTATTAACTAACATAACCTTCCTAATCAAACCTCCCGTCAAAAAACACCTTCCTAATCAAACCCACCAATTAACCGACCCTATCATGCTTACCAAACCCTCTTTCTTCCTCACCGTTCCCCTTTCCTTCTTTCTTCCTTCACCAACACAGAACCACCATTCATGGTTTTGTCTCCCCCGCAGCCGCCAACAAAGAACCGTGAACCCGACTCGGTGGACCTTCATCACCTGACACATGCTTCTTCTACCTCTGACGACGATGTAGGGAGTTCTGGCAGAAACATGCTCCAACTCTACTCCGACAATGCTCCCGGCTCAAGATCTCCCCTATCGCTTTGTGACCGTTGCTTCATCGGCTTTGTCACCAGCAGCGCTATCCAGTCTTCGACAAGCTCGTCATGATGGATTTCCCACCAAATCCCAAATTCCTACAAGATCTCAATCCCAATCCAAAAAAGTACCAAGGTACACGTCTTTTGCAAGCTTCATTGGATTCATCACCGACCCACTAAAATCCCCGGCCACCAAATCCAAAAGTTCAACAAAATCTTAATCCTCTTCGCAGAGTCATTGTAACCAAAAACCTTCGCCCCATTGCTTCACCATCCCACCGCCAAAGATCTAGATCTGCGACTGAGGTGGAGAGTAGCGGAAGCGACTTTATGCTTCCTCGTCAGATATGCTCACCCTGGGGAGCCTGCTGTACAATTCGACAACGACGACGACGAGTACCGGAACCAGCGGTTCAAGATTGTGAATTGGATTGTGAAGGGGCCCTAGGTGATGAAGATGGTCGGGAATCACTGCGCATGCCTGCTAGGGAAGGCACTCACCTGCAATTAACATAGGGGACCAAAGTATTTTGAGATGGATGTTGATATCGCGAGCTCGACAATCACGACGGCGATCCTACACTTGGCGCTTGGGTGCATGACGAGCGTGACGATCGATATGGGGTTCCTTGTGGAGGCACATGAGCCGCTGCCCAAGAGGTTGATCACCGCGGTGAGGGTTTGTCAAATGGAGATGTCTAACAGGCTATCTTCGACCTCTTCCCTTGTCGACTCCTCGTCGTTTGAGGATCTCACAGCAGAACGAACATGGGAATGGTTCACTATGACAAAAATCCCTTTTTGGAGATACCAACGGGAATTGGTTCTACTGCAGGAATGGGAAGAGAGTAGTGGAAGAAGAAGTTGTGCTGACCGGATTCATTTTCGCTGGCAGGATTTGAAGACTAAGAAAGATGGGGAAGGGAAGAGGGAGGAGGAAGAAGGGGAAGGGTTGGGTTTATGACGTGACACGTTTTGTGATGTGGCGGGTCAGATTTCAATTTTTTGTTTGTTAAAATTAGCTTATTAGGTACTTCTGCTGGCCACATTAACAAAAAACTGACGGTGTTAAAAGAAGCTAAACGAAAGTAATGGAGAGTGACCAAACTTGGATGGTTTGATTAATTTTAGTGATAACAAATGGAATTAAATATTTTTAGTGACCAAACATGACCTTTTTAGTAATCTCAGTGACCAACCTTGCAATTAACCCCTGAAAATTTCATGTATAATTGTTGAATACTATAGTCCTAGTGGGACGGAAAAGCTCTAGAGAGAGAAGCAAAGTGAATAGGAAGTGGAACTCAGTTTAAAATAATAGCCTACTATTAAGTAGAAATTGTTTTTGAATCGGACTCGACGTTGAATTGAAAAGGTGATTCATAGTTTAGTTATTAAGCATTATAGATCTGTTCATAACTTCTTTAATTAACCATCTATTTGTATATGAGAATACATGCAAATTTATTATACTAATTAGAGTTGTACAAATAAGGCAAATGCAAAAATAAAGAAATGGAGATGAAGGGTAAGCAATAAAATTAGGATTAATATGTTTGCCTTACCCGAACTTTTTCCATATTTAACATCCTGGCCAATCTTTTTGGTATTTAACATCGTGGGCCGAATTAATTTTATACTTTACTAATTTGATCAAACTGACCGAGAGTTGATCGTTAGTTTTGACGGTCAAGGTTGTTGACTAATGGTCAACTCGCCACAACACTGTCCAGTCAGTATAAATAAACTTAAAAAATTCTCAAATTTCCAATCCTTAAAAATTAGTATAATTAAATTAAAAAAAATAGTAAAAAATTGAGAAATTAAACAGGCCGCCGCTCTGGGTCTTGGGTTGGTAACCACTGTTTCGTTTCTCATTTTTTCTTTTTTTTAAATTTAATTATAATAATTTTTAGAGATTGTGTGGAGTTTATAAAGTTTTTAAGTTTATTTATGTTTACTGGAAAGTGACGAGGTGGGTTGATCATTAATCAACGACTTTGACTATTAAAACTAACGGTCAATTATTAAGTTTGGCCAATTTAGTAAACAGTAGGGTTAATTCGAATCATGATGTTAAATACCAAAAGAATTAATTAGCTGGTAAAATATGGAAAAAGTTTGACACACAAATATATTAACCTAAGAAGTATTATGATATAAATTAGCTCTTTCGTATTTCTGCTTTCCATAGTGTTTTAATTGTGAGAAATTTTACAATACTATATAGTATTGGTGCTATAGGGTTTTGCCTTTATTGTACAACTTAAAATTGTACATTTACGTTATGGTACAACTTCAGATTGTACCTATACTTTTTGTACAAATTCTTTTATGGTACAACTTGAACGTCTACCTTTATGTGATGGTACAACTTCAAGTTGTAAAGTTGTATCATAACATAGTGATACAAATTGCTTTATGGTACAACCTAAACTTATACATTTAATGTTATGGTACAACTTTAAATTGTACATTAAAGCACCAATACTATATAACATAGTAGAAGTGCTCTTTAAATGTAAGTTTTGCTAACAAAATTATTGAAACATTAAACCAACTAGACCAGAGAGGTTATGGCAGTACAATGTCTGATTGCAAACAATCTATCGGTGCTAGCTAACGTAACACAAAAACCAATTTATCAACATTGTAATTGGATTGGCCGACTGATCCGATTTGGTTCTAATTAAAATTTCATTGGTGTTCCTTGTATTTTCGTTTATGTCGTGGTTCTTTTGTTTTTCTTCATTGTTGTTTCTTTCTCCATTTGGAACAACTATATAGTATATACTTATTTTCAGACATTTTGTTATAGACATCACTGAAACGTGTGTTTTGTCAATGAGTAAAAAATTAAATATCTTGTGGAATAGTAGGCAAAGTTGAGCCATGGTCGTGGAATGAGTCTACACAACATTGTTCCATCAAATAATATTCTATCTAATTATGGTTAATATCATTTTATACTCTTTTATTATCGTAAATTAACAAATATATCCTTATACTATTTTTTAGCACAAATGTACTCTTCTAATATCAAAACTTAACAAAAATATCATTCCATCCAAAAATTTTGTTTGCTTGCCGTTTAATGGGTTAAGAAATGACCACATTACCCCTAAAATGTATTTTTCAACCTTTTGTGTCATGGTCGAAAAACAATTACCCTAATTTTTATCCCTCTCCCATTGTGTAGGATTCGTCTTATTCTTCATTCATCTTGCCCATCGTAGTATTTCCAAACTCGTCTGCTAAGAAACACTATTTAATGGGCAAGATAACAATTTTTTTTGGTGCCTCTCTTTTTACTTTCATTTGTTTCTTTTTATTTTATTTTCTTTTCTTGAGAGAACCACCATTTCTGCACATTCTTTTATCAGACCTACCTAGTATAAGGGGCACTTCTGCGTCCTCATTGATGTCTAAGACAACAAAATCCGCAGGATAAAAGAAACTTTCAACCTTAACCAAGAGGTCTTACACTATGACTCTAGGATGAACTATGGATCAGTCAGCTAATTGGATACTCATCCTAGTCGCACTTGGTTCACCTAGGCCTAGTTTCTTAAACAATTTATATGGTATAATATTGATACTAGCGCCTAGATCAGCCAAGGACCTCTCTACATGCAGTTTACCAATAGAGCACTAGATACTAAAACTACCTGGATCCCTTTGCTTCTGAGGAAGCTTGTTCTGCAGAATGACTGAGCATTTCTCGCTGAGCTCCACAGTGACCATCTCACTCAGCTTCTGCTTCGTCGAGAGGTCTTTCAGGAACTTCGCATACTTAGGCATTTGAGATAGTGCCTCCAAGAAGGGCACTTGAACATTCAGCTTCCCAAGCATGGACATGAAGTTCCCAAACTCGGCGTCCAACCAATCTTTGTACATTCTGGTGGGGAAAGATAGCTTAGGCTTATATTTAGCCACCACTGGCTGGGGCTTTGGGCTTGAACCTCTGGCTCCTTTCCCATTATCAGGTCTTCTTCCGGCTCTGGGGTGATCTGCGTCACCTTCTTTGAATTCTTTGGCGATGCATCCTCAGTCACAGTTCCACTTCTCATCATGATGGCGTGTAAACCCTCTTTATGATTTCAGGGGTTCGGCAGGGGTTAGCCATAAAGTGTGCTAGCCGGTCTGGAAGCAAGGGAATCTGCCAAGTGTCCGATTTTGGCATCCATATCATGCAGAAGTGTCTGCTGGTGCCTCTGGCTAGCTTCAATCTCCATGAATTTTCTTGCTGCCACTTCCATGAATTGCTCCAGTTTAATAAACTGTTGGGTACTGGTGCTGGCCAGGGTGGTCACTAGACCCCTCAGTTCTGACATGGAATTTCCTGGTGCTGGGATTGATGGAGATGCTCCAGGATGCTGGTATTGCTGCTACTGTGGGGGTTGTTGAAAAGCCTGCCCCTATCTGGGCTAATAAAATGGCTGTTGTTGCATATGGCTTGGGCGGTGCTGGTATGGCTATCTCTGGTTCTGAAAGCCAATTGTAGGAGTCTGAAAGCCCGGGGGCTTGGGATTGTTGTTGTCACTCCATGAGAAATTTGGATGCTGGCACCACCCCCTGTTGTATGTATTACTGTAGGGGTCGTTGCGCCGAGAATTATTAATGAAATTCAGTTGTTCCTGCGGTGTGCTAGACTCTCGCATGGCTTGGCAGTCCTCCACCCTGTGATTGGTGCTCTCACACCATGGTAATACATTGCATGTTACTGCCCTGTCCCGGAGATCATCCCATTACGATCAATAGCTGAGACTAGTTAGAGACGACCTGCACCAACTCAGATGACCGGGTGTCCACAACATGCACACCACGACCTGGAGTCCACAACATGCACACCCCGACCTGGTGCTCTCCTAGACCTCATAGCCAACCCCCAATCATAACCTTGTTCTGCCATTTTGTCAAAGAGCTGGTTCAACTAGGGTGGCGTCTTGATCAACATGTTCCCGCCACAAATCGAATAAATCAGATGCTTGTCTTTATGGAAGAGAGCGTGGTGAAAGGTGCCCACCTTTAAAGAGCCATTAAAACCATGATTGGGACACTTTAGGAATAGACTGGTGTATCTATCCCAAGCATCCTGAATGGTTTCATCCTCTTCTTGGGCATAATGTGTAATCTCCTTCCGCAGGTCTGCTGTCTTGGACGACGGATGATAGCGGGTTGAGAACTTGTTGGCCAGGTCGGTGAATGTCTTGATTTACCCCGAGGCCCGGTTTCCAGCCACATCTTGGCATGTCCCTACGAAGTGAAAGGAAATTAGAGCAACTAAATGGCGTCTTGAGGGACCCCATTAATCTTGATTCCATCGACCAGCTTGTGAATCGTCATAGGTGCACTCTGGGGCACTCTCATGCCTTCCCATGGAACACCACTGAACCTCACAGCATGGTGATAACAAAGGTGCTCACCTCAAATTTTTTGGCAGCAACTTGAGGGTGTTTGATGTGGGACCTCATGTCTGCAACTCTGGTGGTGCAGTAGTATCCCATGGTATGCTCCTTGGAGACAACTGCCCCGTCAGCATTGGGTTCACCCATTTTCTCCTGCTGGTTGATGTTCGGCTAAGCTAGAGCTTCCTCCACAGCCAGCCGTGCCTTCAAAGCTCTCTTAAAGTTGCGACAGGTCCTTTCAAGCTTTTGGTCCAATGGCAGTAGATCTTTCAACTAGCTATGGGTCATGCACTACCTGCACACAGACGACAAACACAACCCGTGAAGGCACACAAGTGGAAGAGAGAAAATGCAGAAAATTAAATGCTAAAGTAACAGACTTTCACGTTTCTCCAATAACCTAGAGGTCCTCGGCAATGGCGCCAAAAACTTGACACACTACAACACAATACCAAACTGCGACCAAGTATAATAGCAGAATGGAAATGCAGAATAGTGTGTAAGTTTAATTTATCAACCCGGGGTCCTGATCTACTGCCTACTCCGTGAAATTCTATTATCTAGTGGGACTAGTTGAGTGAAATGTGAATTTAAACTAAAGCAGAAAGAAAATAGTAAATTTTTAAGTTTACTTAGTAGATGAAGAGTCACTCGGGAATGAG